ATGTATATTGCCTGCTATCAAACATACACATTGTTCTACTGCTTCATATATGAAGTCATAAAACAAGGTCTAAGATCCTGTGAAGATACATGTGTCTTCACCGGCTAATTAGTAGCAATAATAAAAGAAGACAACGTAGACACTTCACTTGTACTGACATGTACCGGTACATGCACAAAAAGTATGACATGATTGGCACATAAATCACATCAAAGGAATTTTATCTTCATTCTACATTTCCTGATGATCTCGTCTGTTCAATGGACCAGGCAAACCTTAAATCTTTAAAGAACAGGTTGCCATGATATTGGTAATGCATTAAATGTCACCATGCCATTAATCACACACACACAATGCTCAAGGCTCAATTTATAGCTGTTACCAAGATACATGAAGCACCTGCATAGCAACTATACGGGGGTATTAAAAATAAATAAAAGAAAAAAGCCGAGCTGAATATTACTACCAGACAATTCCCGTTTTCTTTTCCACCACAAAGCAATCCTATTCAAGTACAAGAGATAACAAATTTACCCTCATTTTTCCAGTCCCTCATTAATTTCAAATTTTTCAAAGATACAGCAGTGTTCCAAGATAGGAATGATACACAGCTAGACTCCAACACACATTTATTTTTATCTGTAGAAAATTATCTGCAACTATTTCTTACTTTACATGTCATTATAACATAAATTTGAGTTAAGCAACTCAAAATTCAAACCAAAGCACCTCAAATACCTAAGCAACGTGATCAACTTCAAACTTTACCTCGGATCAACTTGTTGCTTTATTCAACTGACAAAAAATAATATTGTTTGAAGGGCATATCCTGTTACTAGCTGAACAGTCAGCAGACTTGTTATTCTTTGAATCCTGAGGGGTTCAGGACAAACATGACTGTATTGTTGGACTGTGTATACAGTCCTGACTGTAATCAAATGCATCACAATGACATTCAGCAAGCACAGTCGTCTCATCAAACACTCAGGAAGACCTCCCACCTTTTCCAGCTTGACAATTTTATCACGTATTAATGGTGGCTGCAATTACCTTAGATATTGCAGACGTGACAAAATGAAATCATCCAAAAATATCAACATTTTCCCAATTTTCCATTTTCCATGCAATGCCTCGTCAACAAACTCTAGTGCGCAACATTTGGGGAATGGATTAAATGTTGAAGCTACATGTACATCACACTTAATCTGATAACAATTAGACAGCTAAAAATGGTTTACGTTTTATGAAAATGACTGTCGTTTTCTTTTATACTGCTTAACAACATAAGGTGTACATCTCAACAATACATTTTTTTCTCAAAATCAAGATGCAAATCAGTAGAAAACGTTTTACAAGAAACAAAGTAGCAACCAATTAATTTAATTAGGGTTGGAAAATTTCTTTCTGGGAAAACATCTTGGGCAATATCATTTGAACATCATACACATGCTTTCAACTCTGAAATGAACGTGTTATATTTGCCTTGCTTGCTGTGAGAAACAAACCACTAACCTTGTGAATTAGGCTCCGGTAAAGTTTCTCTTGCCATCAGATGCATGACAGTAATCTTGCCGGTTGGAAGTTGCAAAGCTGCAGCCAAAAAGTACGGGAAAGATGTTTAACATAAGAAGGCATTTATTGCTGGGAAATTCTTAACTATTTTGTGGGATTTAATGCAAGACTTTTGTTGGATAGTACAGCGGTGGGTGGGTAAGGGTGGGTGCAGGTAGATGGACTGGTGGGCAGCTGGGTGGGTGGGCGGAAAGCTACATGTACATGTAGGTTGGTAGGCAGGTAAGTCAGTTTAACATTTTTGCATCACGCTCAAACTACAGTAGACACATTTCATGCATTTCTAATTTCACCTTTCCCCAATATGCCTTCAAAAATTCAATGCAAATTCAAAATAGGGTAGGTAGTGAACAGGGAGCATATTATAATATTTTCCTTTGGGAGGGAAAGGAGCTAAGTAGAGGTCCTGAGAAAAGTTTGCACAAAAATAAGAACCAAAGTTTGACATAACATCCAATTGGAGACTGAAAGTTTGGTCCTACTCAAATCACTGTGTCAGCTACATCATTGGTTGAATCTGGTGAGTGAACCGTACTCTCCTCTGCAAAATGTACATGGGGTCATTATGACTAAAGGCCGGTTCATACATCTGGCAAACGCGAAAGCGATGAAAATTTAACGTTACAAAAAAATTGCAGCGAAACTTCGCTCAAGTAAAAACGTGTTCCACTGTCATGAATTTGTAGGGTAGATATTTGATCTGACGTCACAAATTCACATTCGTTTTTGCCTTTGTGTGAAGTATGAACCAGCCTTAAGGCTGCATAAACTTGAAGAGAAAATGAAGTGAGCACTGTACCTCCTAAGGTGACATTTCCGTGAATAAATCTGCCTTGATATATGAGACGAAGAATAGATGCAGATGACACACGGTCACTTTCCCATTCTGGAAGAGATCAACAAAAGAATTGGTCATTGGTCATCAAAAGTACAATTTACCGGTACATGTGTACGTGCAGGGTTCTCCCTAGGATTTTGCAAAATATGAGGGGCATTTTGTCGTGGTTCACTGACAATTGCGAAGCCACGGCGTGGGGTTAGGGGTGGACTATGAATTTCCATTCGTAGTCCATTCGTGCACACCACCTACCGCATGCAAAGCTAAAGACACCTCAAGGTGCAAGAACAGAGTGATTTACAACAGAATGGTATTTGTAACTTGTACCTGTCCAAAGCCAGTATTTGAAGTTCTCTATTTGCAGTTATTAATTTCTGAAAATGTTTTTGTATGGCACTATTTCACAATGAAATGACCCTCAGAGAAAACACTAGTACCGGTTTCACACAGTGCTCTTATTACCCA